GAAGAATAATAATAATAATAATAATAATAATAATAAAGAAATAATTGGAAAACATAGTATTAAAGTTAACAAGTTAAAACAAGTTAATTAAACTGAAGTGGCAATATGTCCGCAACTGCTTCAAACATCCCTGCTGTACATGAATTACGTTGCTATTGTTATTAACTCCGGGGCAGTCTTCCTGGTGGGTGGTAACTTCCAAACATATTAGGATGATAAAATAATTCGATCTCAACTGTACAGGTGTATGTGTTATTTAAATTTTATTCTTGGTCAGTAGGATGGGGTCAATCGGCTTTCGCTTCGCTATTGAATGTTTTTATTTCAAGCCTGACTCCGCTTACCCGGACTAGGGTCGGTGTACGCCAGTAATAGTTACAAGTATATCCTACGGATCCAGTGCATCACAGAACTTCAGTAATAGACCAATGAAAATTAAGTTGTGGCCAGGGGCAGAGCTAATTGACAGAAGAAAGAGCCAATTAAACAACGCTTCTTCTAGACGTTTAACCAATCACCAAGCATATGCCAAAAATAACACCTACTCTTGTTCAGCACCCAAAGTCGAAGGATAGCTCTGGCCTTTCAATGGAAGAAAGTGCTAGATTTGTCAGTGTTGTATAATATCACCAAATCTCAGTGTCCATATTTGTTTTGGCACGATCGGAATTGTCTTCATTTAATGTGAGAGACAGACTTGGCGTCAAACATGCGTAAAAACCAACGCGATCCAAGCAGGGAACCACCGAGAAAGGAATTATCGCCGCTCATCTGAGGCCAATTTCGGTTATTTTTGTTAAATAAGGAAACATAAAATAGTTAGCTAGCTAACGTTAGCATCGTATATAGCCAGGTCAACGACATATCTTCACACAAAAGCAGAATCCAGCAGAAAATCAAGATTGGATCGACATTCGCACAGCAGCAGGAAAACGTAAGTTGCATACTAGTATGTACGCTAACGTCATTAGCTAGAGTTTGACAACCAGAAGAATTGCGCTGGCTCCAACGACAGCTAGCTGTTAACATTAGCATGCCAGCTAATGTTAGCTCATATCACCACACTAGCAAACTAGGCCTTTCCATGAGGGACCAGTGCAAAGAGGAATGGAGTTAAAGCATGTGGTCAGTGGATTGGTATTTAAAACAGAAACGCCTTTCCTAAAACAGTCATCATTATCATCATCATCATCATCATCCTTTATTAGCAGACTCAAGGTCCATACAAAAAAGAAATAAAAGAAAAAGAAAGGATATAAAAGAAGAAAAATAAATAAATAAAAATCATAAAAGACATTTATACCAATGTTTCCACAGAGAGGATTGGTAATGTACTACACTAAAACCAGGATTAGCCAGCATCATTATAAGACTGTTCTCAGAGTTATTCACACGACAGATAAATCTGTACATCAGGTTTCTCATTAATGCCTGAAAGGTACTAACATGGACCTGTGAACACAACAGACTGGCGCTGGTGGACCTAGGCTTCTTAAGCAGAATCCTCAAGGCATCATTATAAGCAACTTTAAGTTTCTGTAAAGTAGCTACCTTATATTTACACCACAATGGGGCAGTATACAACGGTGTACAGTATGTTCTGAACAGATGAACTTTAACATTAGCAGAACACATGTGAAATTTCCTAACCAACATATTAGCTTGAGCATACAAAATGCGACACTGCCGATATATATCCTCATCATCAGAAAGCTGATCTGTAATGAAATGTCCTAAATATTTAGTTTTTCTACAGACACTCAACCTTTGTCCAGACAAACAAAAGTCTGGGAAACAAAGTTCTTTGTCCCCTTTAGTCCGACAGATCAGTACAACACTCTTTTCTGCATTATATTTCACATCATACTTCAATCCATAGTCCGAGCACACATTCAGCAGTTGCTGAAAACCAGCGCTGCTGGGCGAAAGTATGGCCAAATCATCAGCATACATAAAATGATTTACAATCATAGAAGACTATAAAAATAGGAAGGAGTAAGGTCTATGTAAACAGTGTCACTATGACACAATCTACTGCCAGGAAAAAGGAACATTCTGTGTCTGGTGAATCACAAGATTTATCATTAACTTTTACTACGTCATGGTGTCATGAGATGCTTTACCTGACTGGCAGGTGCTCCTGTATCTTGGCTATGAGTCCCATGGAGGGGTCAGAGCGAGTGTACATAGTAGCCAGGATTGCTATAACCACAAAAAGCCAGGAGGAAGGGCTGGCAGGATATACCCCAGTTATCACACTGTTCTGTTCACATGACAGAAGACAGATTGGTTTTGGGATATCAACACAGGCTAAGCATTAACAAACAAAACAGACAACCGGTGCACCGCCCAGGGTGGTGATACCTTGAGTCTGATGACACGCTTCTTCCAGGAGCGCACACCAGAGAGGTAGATTTCAGTGAGGGCCTGGTGGGATAGCTGCAGGTTAATGCCCTCCGGGGTAACCGTGAACTGGAAGGCCACAGCCTGGTGGGCTTCTGCCATGATTACTGTGCACAATGAGGGGGACAGGAGGGGATACAGAGGAAAAGAGAGGGAAATGTACATTTTTCATTAATTGACAATTAAAACAGCCAGCGAATAAGCATTAAAGAGCTCTGTGATAGACTGGCTACCTGTCCGGGGTTCTCTTGCCCAGTGTAGGCTGGGTTTTTCTCCACCCTCACCTGCAACCCTCTACAGGATAAGCAGTGGTGGAGAAACATTAAGGACAGTGTGTCAAACCTCAAATAACACAATAATATTTATGAACATGGTGAAACTACTGACTTTTGAACAAACAAAAATAAATGAAAGTGTTTGTGAGACTATAAAGAATGTTCTTGACTGTTCAACTAATCCATCACACCAGCTTGCACAGAGAGCACTCTTTCACCATTATGCTATATAGAAAGTCCTGCCTGGTTAGAAACAGTATGTCTGATGAGACCTTGGCTGTTATATTAAGGTACTGAGGAGGCAGACTGCAATGCATGCAAGCTGTTAACAAGAACAATAAACAAAAAGAGCACTATTTGGTATCCCTTATAGCTTGTGAATCGTGATCATAGTTCATACCAACTACACTCCAACAGCTAATAGGGAACTGAGGACTAAAGATGGTAGAAAGTGCTGTGAACAGACTTACAGATGACAGATGAGTCACCAAACTGAAAATGAATTGCAAAAAAGGTCTGTGCATCCCTGGCAAAACACATTCATATATACATGAGCATTTTAAAAAGAGGATCGTGAGAAACACATTACTTATGACTGATTTTCAAATGCAAAGCCGGCATGAAATTGATAGAGTCTGATGGAAAACTGCCGACTGGCTGCTGATGTGACAGGGTATTTCTGTTTAAGGCAATTACTGCTTCTCATCATAAAGAGAATTGATTTTAATCCACAAAAAGGCTATGGATAATGCCCTGAGGTCCAGTTACTCTGACACTGGACTGCACCCCTGTGGAGGCTACGTCTGCTCTTACTGTGTCTAAAAATGGCACACGTGCGCGCACACACACACACAAAATTCCCTCATCGTCCCCAACTCCCTCTGAGGTTCTGTTCTGTAAGCTGTGAATGGACTACAGTGTTTTGAAAGCTTAATCTCCACTGACGGTGTAGTTATCCTTAGCATCTCTGCAGCTTTGATAGCCAGGCCACTCAGAGCTTTGTCTTTAAAGCGGTCTTATTAAAAAAACAAAGACACCGCTTAATGTTATTTCTGATTGAGATATTTTATAATTTAACAGATATTATACTGTACATCTTTAATCATATAACATATTATTAAAACAGGGAAACAGGTTATGAATAGTAAAGTCTTTTCAAATATTATTTAGTTTGAAGAAATAAAGGTTTTCTAGGGAACTGACACAGCCCTGCATTTTTTTTACTTGTTTGATACAAGGACTAAATAACTTAGCATTTTTGATTCTTCAAAATCTGCCAGAGAAAACACCCATGTACTGGATTTCAGATGTGGCACCTAAACAAATAGACAAGAGGACACTGCTGCTCTTCTGTAACCTATAATAGATGACTTTAATTTTAATACATAACAGCAATTTTCTAAAAATATTTACTGGAAAGTAACAAACTTCACACACTGACACGAGCACCAGAGACAGTATAGAAGCAATCACATAATTTCATACAAATATTAGAAATAAAGTATTCTTAAATTCCAAGTCTCCTGTTATTTTTATGATTGAGTTCACCGAAAACACAAAACTGTCCTGCACAACTGACAACTAGTACTGTGGACATAATAAGAAGCTGATATCACTGTCAAACAAAGCTTATTTTAATGTAGAATCAGATCATGCTTACATTTTTTGTCACTTGATAATCCATCTCAGCTGAGATTTCGCAAGGTGGTCATCGTTTGGGTGTGAATTTTGGTTCTGGCCTCTCCTTCAGTAATCTTGTGACAACGGATAACTGCACAATCAGGTTTTCTCCAGTTGAAGAACTTGGCTAAAACTAGGCTACTTTTTAAATCATTTGCAGAGCTTGAAAAGAGAAGATTTTAATCTTGTTACTACAGTAAATGTCTATGCTTGGGGCTCAGCGAGCGCCCTTCCAGTAGCAATCCCCACATCCCCTTTACTATCAACCTACAGTAAGTTCAGCTTGGTGCTGCTGTCCACTGAGTCTACCTTCATAAAGTAGGTCAAACTCCATACGTTAACCAATATTTGTCATGCCATTCAGTCATGAAATGCCTCCAAAAGCTTAAAAACAAAAACACTTTCTTCCCTCAGTATTCAGTGTTAAACCTAATCCAAAATGAACTTCTCCTGCATGTTGGTTTTCATGCTGCCCAGCAACAGTGAACAGAGCTGTGTGTGTAGCTAATGAGCTTGTGCACACAGTGTTTGGCTGTTCTCTATCTTCTGTGCAGAGTTCAGAGACTTGTAGTGTGTGTTCTGGTGGTACATGGTGACCCAAAATCTTACTAAGACACTTAGTTTTTTCTTTTGTCACCCAACCATGTAGATAATTAGAATGTCCCAGTTGATCTTCAAACATGATTCATTGTCTAGGATGACCTGACCTCCACTATTCAACCCTTTGACATGGAGCTGTCTAGGTATAACCCTTAAGCAAATTCACTATTATTTTCTAAAACTGCTTTATCAAACTTTATGACACTTTAAAATCTAATGGACTTCTATTAAGATTACTAAAAACTTTTGCAATTCTGTTTACGACATTGTAGTTATAGGAGGATGTCCACCGGTTTGTCAGTAGATTTTATGCTTAGAGTATTCACAAAATATTGTGTGGATATCTCTAATGAGTGGCAGGCTACATACAAACATTTCAACTACACTGAAAGCCGGTGTTACACATTTTTGTGTTTCATGATGCAGTCCTGGGATATGATATGCATGTTTCCACTCACAGGCAGAAATCTAACGACTATAAGTAGCTAATGTGTAAACTTATGTGGAAACACTATGTGGGCTAATGTGTAAACTTATGTGGAAACACCAACAAATCCACCACTGACGTATATGCGTTTTATACAACCCATTATCATACCACAACTTCCAAACGTCAACAAAGTAGCAGTTAATGTGACTGCCCTTTTGCCAAACCATCCTAAATCTGGGGGAGAAGAAAAAGAATAAACAATTGCAGTAAAGTAGAACACCTAGAAAGTGTTCCCCCCCCCGTTCAAAACTCGGTTTCACGTGACGCTCAGTGGTTATGGTCAGGACAATGTTAGGGTTCAGGTTTGGGGAAACACATCTCGATGGGGAAACAGATTTCGACACAACACCGGAACACAAAGTAAAATTTGAGTCGCTTCAGTATTAATTATTTTTAACGCTACATATTTAGCTATCAATCTTTTATAAGTAGGCTATTGTTATATGTGAAAAGCTGCCACTAATGTTGGCTAGCAGATGTTTGAACTGCAAGCTGATGCTAGTGCTGGCTAGCCGAGCGCCCAGCCCATTTAGCTACACTCATACGGCCGCTGATAAGGCTTCCTAACGTCGGCAGAAAGATGCGACTGTTCCTTTATTCATTGCAACGCACTATAACACTGTCGGAACCCCGTTTCCATACCTGTTGTTGTTTGCAGGAGGCGAAATTTCGGAGATCGAGAGAAACAGGAACCGACTATTAACTTCTGACGTCGAGGAAGTACCCGCTGAATACAGCCGTACAACCGGCGGTCCTCTCGTCTGAATCGCTGTACAGACACTCGCCTGGATGGACATGCTGCATTCAGGGCCCGTCCGACATCTCCTGTTCTCAGAAGCGTGAGCTGTAACGTTTAAGGGCATTTCCAGTGCTGACAAAAAGCAAATTCTAACCAAAGTCCACTGACTATATTTTATGGAGAGGTTTCAGCCAGCCTTGATGGTCTTCAGCAGCGGTTACCGTGGTGAATTTACTGACATGGGTGGAGTAAGCCCATCTGCATGACTGTGATGGGGTTGAAAGCTCCTGAAAAACCCCACTCCCCGTTAGAACATTGAAACCGCCGGGAAAAGTCGACCTGACTTTTGCAGTAAAGTCACTCTGAAGAGCAATTTACATTCATATATTATTATTTCATGTTATGGCAATACAAATAGTGATTGCATCCAATTGAGTTAACCTTTTCGGCACTAGCACAACAGAAGCCGCCACCTAAATGAAGAGACACAATTTTAACCCAAAACTAAACTGACACAGACATGAATTTAGGGTTTATTATTGTAACCATAACAATAAGGTGAATCTCTCTTTATTTTGACCATCAATTCAATCATATTTGTTCTTTTTATCACAGGCAATAGTTATAATAGTGCACTTTTATATTTAAATTATGATACAGACATTTCTTTTTTTTAAACACCTTATTCTACTGACCCTTATGAATGGAGCATAGTTTACAATCTTAGCCAGAGCTGGGTCAATGAAAGTGAAGGTGATGTGGTGATGAGAAAGATCAAATAAATGATGGTGAGCAATCAAAGTGTGTACAGAAAATGAGGCAAACAACTTCGTACAGTTTTTCTTGTGATGATGGCTACACAATAGGTGAAGAGGCAGACACACAGGTCAAAGGGACAAGGTATAAAAGCAAGAGATGACTTGAATTAGCAAAGCATTCAACATGTGAAAGAAATTGTCAGTTAATTTAATATTCCTGGGTCAATCAAAAACTCTGTATATAATCAGCTCAAAATGCATCTAATGCAAAGTTTTCAGCTCACTCTCAGTCAGCCATCATCCACCCATCCCACACACACATTCCAGTTACCAGAGATTAGCATGATAAAAGAAATGTGAGATACAAACAAAGATCACAGGAAATGAGAGCAACTTCTTAGTACTGCTATCAAAGTGGACTTGTGTAGTAAAACATGTTCAAAAAATAGTGGTTAATGAGAAGTGAAACAGAACAGGGTTCTTGAATTAGCTCTTGACAGATTTTTGTTGGCATTAACAAATACATGGCACAAACAACCACGTGGCCAAATAAATAAATATATACATAAATAAATGAATAAATAAGAATAAAATTGCGTACACCTATAAAAATAAAAAATACCATTAAACTTCAAACAGAACTGAAGCACTGTGTGTCTCTGAAAACATTCTTCACTTCTGTTGCATATTATGCTGTATGGAAGACTGATGATGAACATGGACTGGTCTGACAGAGTACTACAGGTGACTGTCTGAGCTGCTACGTCTGCTTACAGGATGGTGCAACTCTCAGTGATGAGTATGGGTGCAGTGATAGACTACTTGGCTTGTTGGTGTACGCCGAAGTGAGGAGCATGGGTTAGGAGATTCTTTGCTTGCTTCCCATTCAATAAGGAACTGATACTGCAAGTCTTTTAAGTCCGGCATTATGAAAATGTCCATTAATGAATTTACTTTGGGGGGTTATTTTGTTCTGAGTCAGTACATGAATACTATGGCATTAGGAGGACAAGCTCGACGAGAAAGGTGGCTTCCACTGGCCAGGAATGCTCTTCTCATTCAGTCTGGGCACAAACAGCTATGACGAGGTTCATGGAACTATTCACGCATAGTGTTTTTTTCATATAGTAGTGTTCACATTTCTCTTCAAATCAAAAATACTTTTCTCCAGAGCAACAGGGGTCCAATGCAAAAATCCTACTTGCATTGTTTCATATTGTCGCTGAGTAAAAACAAAGGAATCAAACCATTTAAACCAATGCAAACTGGTCAGCGTCCTCCTTTCCAACACCATAGTGTTTTGTTTACTGCTAACACTGTGCTACGGACATCCTGCAAAGAAACGTAAACATAAACGAAAACTAAATAAAAAAATATTTTTTCACATTCACTTACTTAGCTTACTTGGCTTTTGTTTACCTCAGGAGAAGACACTACTGGAATTCCAAGATGTAGTTTCTCCTGAGAGCTTTTGTTCAACTCATCACTACTTGCTGAAGTGGCGACAGCAGGTTGCTGACTCTTTAGGGTTCATCTGCTGAGATGCATCTATAATTCACTGTGTACAGATTGGATAGTTGCACGTTGTTTAATAGTGACATGAGCGCACTGGTTAATTTTAAGAGTAACCTTGAGAACCATCACAAGACTATTATTTCTTTTTGGTGTCAGATATCATATTACAATGATATGGCGGACTAGCCTATCTGATCATGTCAGTATCCTTTTGCAGGCGGCTTTGCTAACTGACATGCACATTAGCACTTCAAAATTCCTAGTCTGAGCTGTGAAGCTGTATCTATGATGTATACCAAACTGCTCATTTACATATTATTTTTTTCATTAAAGGGTGGTTTCTTAACATTTCTTGCTCATTTAGGGGCAGGAATCCTGGTGATCCAAAAGACAGAGAACGCCGAGTTGGGGGAAAAAGCATGATGAGGAAAAGGTTTAATCCTTGCTATGTTCAACCACCTTCGATAACTTAAGTCAAGGAAGAACAGTAGCTCGTGGCTTGCAGGGATACTTGGAGATGAAGTTATACTGTCTTCTTCTGTAGTTCAGGCTTCCTGCTGCGTAGTGTCACGTTCTATCCTATGGCTGGGACTGGGTTCCATTGGACGACAGAAGTCTGGTTCTCTCTTTTGCTGAGCCTCTGCGCTGTAGAACGCCCCCACTCCCTCCTATGCCTCCACCATCGGCTCGGTCGCCCCACTCGCACCTGTCGCCCCCACCCTCGGAGCGCCTCGAGTTTTGACGGGTGGGGGTCCCATGGGGTCGGCCATTCTTCTCATCTGGGAAAGGATCAGTAGAGGAGGACAGGAAAGTCACTCTTAGGGTACAGTGTCTATGGGCCAGGACTGGGAATGAATGAAATGACGATGTGACCAAAATGTGGTGGGCAAGTCTAAAAATGGGTACATTTCTTTTTTTACTGTTCACTAGTCTTTGGCCTCAGACACACAGGTGATGGAAGATGATTACCTTTCAATTTATGCACGAAACACCAATTGCCTCAGCCTTCATTAAATGATATGCAGTTTAAGTTAATGCTGATTCCAAACATACCATTTCTAGAAAGAAATCAGAAACAGCTTGAGCTCAGAATTATTTATGTATATAATCAGAAAGCTCAACACCTATGGGCTTGCAGACATGTTGTATCAGACTCACATGGCTGAAAACAGCCCAGTCCTTTTCTATAAGTACTGAAAGAAAAAGAAGTTTCTAGCACAAGTGAAGAATAACCACTATAATCCAATATTATAAAATATATTTTTAAAATGGCATTCATTTGCAAATATGCAAAAGAAACACCTAACAAAATTCAAGGTCCTGAGGAGACTACCTCTGTATGTACCTAGATGAATATAGTCAAAGCTAAAAAAGTGTTAACCTCTCACTCTAGTGTGCACAAGTGTGTGTAAGCAGTCTCACCAGATAGGGCTTGCACCATGGGTTGATCATGGGAGCTGAGAAGCTGGGCTTGAATCGTTTCCACCACTCGTCTGAACCTGCGACTTGGACCTGGAGATGCACCAAGGCCAACCCATTTAAACTGGGCTAGACATCATTCCAAAAAGAACTACATTTTTTCCCCAATACAATACCTGACTTTCAGTACCAAAACCAAAGTTATACTATTTTCAGACTATATTTTGCCCCCTTTATGTATGTTTTACAATTAAAAAAAACTTTTTTTAAAAATCGGTCTCAGAGGCATCAGTGCCCAATAGATAGACACAATACAGCCGTTTATAAAAGTAACTAAATCCTGATTTAATTGAGGAAATGGCTGATTAAATAATAGGTAAAATAAGGATCTGACCAAGCATTTAATGCCAACGTTTCATAGCCGCTCAGCTTAGCCTAGCATAACATAAAGACTGGAAATAGTATCTAACAGCTAGCCTGGCTATGTCTAGCGGTAACATTATGCATATCTAAAGCTCAATAATTAACATGATGCATCTCCTTTGTTTAATTTATCCTGCTTTCCCCTGTTTCCAGACTTTGTGCTAAGCTAATCACATTCTAGCTGTAGCTTCATATTTACAGACACAGAAGTGAAATCAGTCCTCTCATTTATTTTTCCAACAGAAAGTGAATAAGAGTAATTCACAAAAAAGTGTTACCTTGTCCACTCCACTTACCTGATATGAGGGTGAATGTCACGCTGTAGATTCCTGTCTCCCTCCTGCCCTCTCTCTCGGTCCTCTCCCTGTCTCGCTCCCTCTCGCCCTCGGAGAAGGCAATGTCCACCTGGAACTTGACGGGTTTCTGGAAGACGGAGGGACCGCCAGAGGATTTGTATTCGGCCCGGAAGCTGGTCTGAGAGAGGACGCTGTGACTGAGTGACGGGATCTGTGCGGTGGGGAGACAGAGAAGAAGCAGAGAGACCGACAGACTTACGAGGTGGGAGAGGTACGGGGAGCAACGTGAGTATAGGGAGACAAAGGGTGAGGGTGAGGAAAAGAGAGAAAGAGTGAGCCACTGGTGAAAGCAAAATGATTGTTAACGTGCCCTGAGTGAGCAACACTGAAATAAAGAGAAAACTGAAACAATGAAGAAATGAAGTGTGTACAGTACGAATGTGCGTGTCAGTTCTTTAAAGCTTTGCCAGTGAGAGCCATGCTGTCTACAAACAAACTTTGATAGTGAGAGGCATGAATGGCAGACCACATCAGATACTCACAGACAGGAAGGCGTGAACAATGTCGGCTTTGACAGAACTCAGAGGCTTGTCTCTGATAACCACTGATAACCACAAAGATCTGCTCCTCTTTCTCCAAGCCAATGAAGTTCCCAAACCATGACTTCTTAGCCAGCCTGGTAGGCGGGTAAATTATACAGTAAGAGCAAATTCACAGAGCCATAGAAAATATTCAAGGCAAAACACACAGCTTCATATAAAGTAAACAAGAGTCACCTCAACAATAATTTATCTCAAGAAGTGAAACTTACTCAGGGCTGGATTCTGGTGTTAGACTGGACATGTCTTCTGATGTAGGAACTGAAAGAGACAAATTAGTAGAAATTTGCATACAATATTACATTTTTAGCAGGAAGCCAGAGGGAAACATTTATGGCTATAATCCACTGCCATTATTGAGGTCTGGAATGCTGTTTACTGAAAGAGAAAAGTGTGTTAAAATAAAATAAAAAACCTGATGTCTAGTTTTATCATACTGGTGCATGTATTGGTGCATCTGCACCAAAACACAGAAAAACTCCCACATAATATGAAGGTAAGCATACAGAACTCACCTTGCAGTTTACGGCGATGGAAACGGGGTGAGCCCAGCAGGTTGTTCTTAAAAGAATTGAGGCGAGTCCTCCAGTGCGCAGAGCTGCTGGCTGCCATGCCGCTTCCTCCTCCTGGGCTGGAGGGTGGGGTCAGTGATAGTGAGCCCACCCCTCCCCCTCCCTCCGCCCGCGAGGAAGACGAGGATGAGGAAGAGGAGGGCGGGGTGGAGGAAGGGTGGTGAGGATGGTGGACGGGGGTGCCCAAAGGTGTGGGCAACGGAGAGCCCTGGGGAGTGACCTGCGGCACAGAGTGGGCAGAGTTTGGGTAGAAGCTCTTAGTCACTGACTTTAGGACAGAGGACGAAGGGAAGAAGAAACGGGGGATGGGTGACAGGAGTGGAGAAGGGGAAGGTGAGCGGGAGGACGGGTTGTGCAGAGGCAGGGATTTGATGGGCTGCAGATGGGGTCGGTCAGCGGGTCCCTTGGTGGGCAGGGTCTGGGTCTTTGGGTTGGGGGGAGCTTTGGGCTTGTCATTAGCCAGTGCTGAGCGAGGAGTAGTGGTGTTTCCCTGTTTGGGCTCCTTTGTGAGGGGAGCAGCGATGGCAGAGGTGACATCTGATTGGCTGAAAGTGAAGACGGGGCTCTGATAGGACTGGGGAGTGGGTTTGGGGGGGAGGGAGAAATGGAAAACAAGAAAGAGAGAGGATGGAACATGGAGAAAGGATGGAAATGAATATCATGCTTCATGACAAAAGAGTGCAACTTGTGAGTAGTGAAAGAGTCAAATGTATTTCTATCAGCTTCGATTATAAAAGCTTTCATTTCAGCACTTTAGCATTTTGTAGGTGCCATTTATATCTTATGTAAGTGAGGGTTTAGTGACAGTTGTGGTTGTGATACTGTATGGTTAAGAATGCAGTGACAGAGGACAGTGACAGAGAGTGTTGGCAGTTAAGGTTTCCTGATGTTACCTTCTACAGCATGTTTGAATATTTAATTATATAACTGAATACAATAAACCAAAATAAATACTCTAATTTCAAAGTTCTATGTATATTTTCTAAATGGCTCTGCACGCTATTAGTTCACAGTCACAGAAAGACAAGAAAAAGGACATGCAAACTTCCTGTTGGGTGAGACTCTTGTTTTTAAAGCATTTTAATGCAGGCATGGGAAACAGCCGCAATATATATATATATGATATAAATAAAATAATTCAAAATAATGCAAAAAGTTACACACATATGATTGAGTGTAATGGTTTCCATGACTAAAAACAAAACAATGATTTTTAAATAATATATTTTTAAGTTTTTAGGATCTAATTCTGGGACAGATATTAGTTAAATTTAACTCATCTTCAGCCATAAGAAATGTGAACAATACTCAAGATAATAACTGATGATAGTGATTTGCATCTTCACATCAGCAACAGCTTAAAATCCCAAACCACAATTAGCTTAAACTACTGTTGTCACACAACAGTCTGCATGGTCTAAATATGAATAATACACACTCTGGCCTGCAATGGAAATGTAAACCATGTTGACTCTGCTAGAAAATATTGCATCACACAAATTGATGATTGGGGATTTAACTGTAGAACTACTAGGTTAAGGAGTTAAATAATAAAAATTAATGATTGAAACTAGTTGGAAATTACTTACCCTGGGACTGCTGAGAGGGCTGGAGGAGAGACCAGTGGAGGCTCCACTGACTGAGCGCGACCTGGCAAAGAGGCCAAAGATTAAAAGCTCATTAAAACCAGAAACTGGAATCAATGGGAAACTGTGTGAGACTGAATGCATTGTCTAGATTTTTGTGTACTCTATATGCTTATACTTTATATAGGCATAATATTTTGTACCTCTGACTGTGTGCAGCTGTGTCCAGGGCCCTGCGAGGTGGGGTCGGAGATCCCTGTTCAGTAACACTCAGCACCTCCAGGCTCTTCCTCTCTGGACGGCAGCGGCCGTGTCGCGTCAGCATAGGAGAGTCAACACGCTTTCGCGGAGGGTCTGCTGAGGAAAACCACCTTAAAGTTACTACAGGATTTACCCATTTTAGATGTGTAAATCTGAAATTTTTCCAACTTGGCATGATATTGTGTAATTGTCATAAAGAAATAAGATCACCCATAGCAGTATTAGTTTTTCTCAAAGTAAAAATCATATTTCTAATGAGCCATATTGCTTTCTCTTAGTAAGAGAAGTTGCTGCATTCCCAGCATCCTGCTCCCTCTTGTCTCTGTCACTATGCATTTATTTTCCCCTTTGCAGCTCTGAAAAGTACGATCATGTTGAAAGTGATTTTTTCCACAGGCCTTTCTCTCACTGCACCATCTGTAACTGTGATAAACTTAGCTTCATTTGCACTGGCAGAAAGGCTGCCCTCTCCTAGTTTCGTTCCATAAAGAGGCCCTGCAGATGTCCTGTGAAGTCTGGTTTTGTCAGGTCTGTTCGTTGCGCTTTCCCTCTCTCTCAGCTTTTGTCCCTCACACTCTCAACAGGTGCAGTCACCCTGGGTTACGCTCGCAGCTGGGGCTCATTCTGCAATTACCACATACCGCCCCAGAGAGGCGAACGACAGACGCCGGTTTGTTGAGAAGCTCCTTCATGCTACTCAGCTCCTAGACTTCTACAGAGAGACTACGTTTCCACTCGCTTCCTTCTTTTGACATCCAAGTAAGATCGACCTTGTTTATCTAGCCTTACCACTCCTCCTGCTGTGGCTTCTCCTCCCTTACGTGTTCATGAGTGCCGACCGGCCAGCGGCGGAGTTACTGCCGTCTCCTCAATATTCCCATCTCCATGCTATCTGCCAAAGCCCATCTCCACCCTACATCGGCTGTACCCTGACGCCTCGCCCTGTGTCCGTGAGTTGCAGATATCAGAGACCTAACCTATCATCTCCTGTCTCCCTCCTCTCAGGCTCTGATCCCCCGCCATTCTGCACTTCCTGAACTCTGCCACTCCTTTCCACCAGCTTGTCGCTGAGGCCAGGCTCGCCAGACTCTACTAGCTGCCTTCAGACTGCATGTGCTATTTGACTAGACTGTTCCTGTCATTAAAAACCTCTTGTTCTGACTATAGCCCGGGTTTTGCATCTGTGTTCCACCTTGTTTTTGGCTCTCACCTTCCTGTGGAGCGACCAACCTAACAAGTTTGAACATCATAAAAATCACTGCAAAACACTTTATACAAGGCTAAATGATTAATGTTAAATACTCAAATTCATTGGTAATGTTTTATGGCATCTCACTCACAGACTGTAGTACAATTGCGTCTCAGAAACTGAGGCTGAGAAAAGTTGCTCCCTCCCCTTGAGTGGATCCCTCCTGTCCCCTAATGACTGACCTACATCATTGCGTGGAGGCAAGTCCTCATCCTCATAGCTGGGATAGCGCTCTTTCCTGTCCAGCAGTAGGTAATATATCATCTTCTCTTGGTTTTCTCTGGCACAAAAAGAGAGAAATTAAAAATCTCCACTGATGAGCTGTTAAAATTTAGAAAGAGTAAGGAGAAAGAAGGCAGCAGCATAAAAACTCAGTAGAAGAAATGAACAGTGACACAACCATGACTCTGGTCTCTTTCTTAGGGAGATAGACATAGATGACAGAGACCAAGTATTTATGGACACAGAGAAAACAGTTCACTGTGTTTAACTAATTATATGTTTATCCACCAAACTACATATTTACTGGAGCAGACTGGGCAGAATTGTATGAATGCTCAGGGACTGGATCCTCCAAAGGCCACAGTCCCTAACTGAATACATCTTAACAAGGCAAGACAACACAGACATTTCTTTTTTAGCACAAACCAGATTATCACTTTAAGTCCTTCATATCACGTCCTCGTGATAAACCTGACTCTTTAGTCTTGGCTGACAGGAAGCACTTGTCTGCACCATTACCTTGATATTTGTGAGATCATTTTTCTTATGAGCCTTATCCTCTGGAGGATCTAGTCCCTGAATTTGGACACAGCTTTAGTCTATCCACCACTGTACATGCTTTAACCCTGTGGCTAATAAGTCATCCTGACTCATGTGGCATGACGGAGTGGAAACCATATACATTTGATGTTTTCAGACAGCACTCAGGATGATCATTCTAAATAACAGAGTTGTGTATTCACTGCATGTTCTAATGCACTGTGTTATGTTGCGCAACGGTTTCTATTTTTTAGTTATTCGGTGCTTAAAAATGCTTACTCTTCACATTGCAAGTCACGCGTGAGCTTGACTCGGTCTCGGAAGCAGCCTAGCGAGTGCATGCTGTCTAACACATCTGGGTCCAGCTCGGTCAGGGACAAGATTCGCCTCACACACACTCGCCTAGGAGGAGGCTGCTCTGGACATGGCTCGTTACGTCCACCCCTGGGAGCCACACACACACACATCAAACAGTGAAAAATACATGACAGATATTATGCATATGACTCAATTTTATGCAACGTTGCTTTAAATGAGTATTTCATTTACCAGTTAAGTGTGTAAAGTTAGATATATACTCACAGATACCAGGCATGCTTCTGGATGACCTCCAGCTGTAAGGGGTGACAGGGCAGATGGGGCAATTAGTTTCTACAGGCTGTACAGCCAGATGGCCACAGAGCTGTGCTGTGTAAACAGTTCAGATCCTTTTTTACATGCACAAAAGACATCTCATCAGTTGTACTTTAAAATCCCAATTTGCAATGTTTATTGTTTTTGAGAAAATATCAGAAAATCATACATCAGCAAGTCTGCTAGAGAAATTTTACTGAACCAGTCTTAAATTTGAAGCCAGTAGTGAACGCTGGCATTGTCCAAAATATGTAGAATAAGATCCAAAAAACAACCTTCACACCTGATATTAACATACTTCTGACTGTAGATCAATACAAGAAAAAAACATTAACTCCTGATGTGAATGAACCTAATACACGCTGATTAAGCAATCATCTGATGCACTCAATGTAAATGCAACTGTGTCTTTAAGACGTCATCTATGTTAATTAAAACGTTAGAGTACACATCCAGCTACAAAGTGCAAACACAGACAACTATGCAAATCTAAAACTGAATCAAAACTAAAAATGATTCATTTCAATGAAGCTACTCACTTCAATCATGATATATGCCAAAACTAAAAATGATTCATTTCAATGACAACAGTCCAATGAAGCTACTCCCTTCAATCATGATATATGCAAAAAAGAAGAAAGTTGTGGTAATTCCAATTCAGTGTGGACAATTTAACACAGGTGTAAATCTAACTAAACTGCCTCTGGATCCAGTCTGCATATAAGACTTGTATTATTCCAGGTGTTAGGGCCCCTTTCAAACCCACTGTGTATGAGCACAGTCTCGTACCGTGAGCCTCTTTTCAGGGTTGACCTCAATCATGCCCTTGAGCAGAGACTGACAATCTGGAGGAATGAAGTGAGGCATGTGGAAAACCCCGCTCTTCACCTTCTCAAGGAGCTGGCGTAAATTGTCATGGTCAAAAGGCAGGGCACCCTGTAAGAGAAAATAAGAAAGGGAACAACAACAAAGGAAGACAAAAGAGTTGCGATAAAATAAGCTTGACACAAAGAGAGAAATAAGCAAGAACTGCAAGCACGCACATGAAGGGGTATTTATAAAGATAAAACAGGAGTAATTCTTACCACCAGTAGAGCAAAAAGTATGACCCCACAGCTCCACACATCTGCTCTCCGCCCATCATATTTCTCCCCCTGTCAAAGTCAGATTTGGCATGAGTTGTTTCATCACAGATTATGTGAAAACACAAATGAGACACATTAATTTATAAAAATCTGAGGGATACTTTCAGCTGACTTAATCCTTATCCAAGACTATATCATTTCTTTCAAAAGAAATATGGCAAAAGAAACACTGTAATCCATTTTAAACCAGCATTTAGTCAATCTCAGTCAAAAACAGTGAAACTGTGTTTTCATTGATAAAACTAGAAAATCCACCCTCAAGAATAACTCCTACTAAACAAAAGCCTTCTTAAAAACAACACAAGAGACTAACTCTATAGTCCATTAAAACTTTTGAAATATTTGTTTATGATTTTGCCACAACTACTTATGTCTTTTTGTTAATTTTAAGTAACTTTGTATTATGTATAATCATGTATTTGTCTCTTAAATAATCATTTAATAACAGGTACCAACATTTGAGGAAGACACTGTGCAAGAGAAGGACTCTTACCCGTATCACTTCAGGGCAAGCATAATGTGGCGATCTAAAATGAAAGAGCAATGTGTTACAAGCAACAGTAATCCCATTAATAGTAAAAGAAATCCGCATATGCTGTTATGTACTCTATATACAGGCAGATCACTGTTGATGTGGTATCAGTTTTGTTTTATGCTGAAGACTATATAATGCAAGATGCATAAACTTACATAGCAAGTTCCTGAAATACAAAATATGACCCTTTTTTAAGTGTGCACACAATATTTATGAACACACATACTAAGCTGATCCTCACCCGCAACTGGTCTCTAACAGACTGTCTCCCACCTGTAGGGAGGCCATGCCAAAGTCAGCGATACGGATGTTGTTCTTTTCATCCAGGAGCAAGTTCTCAGGCTTCAGGTCTCTGTGACTGCACAAACACAACAGAAAATATTGGTCTCAGCTTAACTATGACTGCATGGGTTTGAAAAAGTGGCTTTAATGGGATAAAATCACAAGTGTTTATGTTTATTTATTACATGACACACTGTCAGAGTCCACTGATTTAAGAGGCCTTCTTATAGGTATATATATATTCTTATAGGCATTCTTAATTGTTAAAACAGAGGGCTATGATGTAACAACAGTGGAGCCAAACAGTTTAATACATAAGCAGAGGAACCAAAACCATCACCCTAAACATGACCCAGACCCTAATTTAAAAAGCACTGCTCTTTAGAAACACCAACCAGATGGAATGACTGTGGCAGAAATCCAAAGCAGAGATGATCTGCCTGAAGAACTTCCTGGCCTCTTTTGGGGTCAGCCGGCCCTTCTTCACCAGGTAGTCAAAGAGCTCTCCTCCTGACACATGCTCCAACACCAGATATCTGTCAACATACAGGGAAAAGAATGTGATTTCAACAAACGGGATAAACTAAGAAAAACAATAACTCTAACCTCAGATGCTCTTAAACTGTTAGATGCCATCAGTTTATGATGTTGGATTGTGTTCCACAATATTGAGATTCTAACTCCTCTTTTTTATATGCTCAGTTGCAGTCAATCTGCCTGTCTATTACAAACTTTTGGCAGTATTTATTTCTCAAGATCAGTCAAAACATTCTGATAATAACTGCAGAGCATCAAGGAAAACTGAGAATTAGAGTAATGAGAGCAGCTTAACTTAGTTCTCAGAGTAATATTTATACCCATCCCACTCCAAAATTCAATTCAGTATTCAGCAAGAAAACAAAGCATGCAGGCTCCACTGATCCCAACTGTGAGGCTCTTCTGAATGCAAAGGGAACTCACAGATATTTGTTATTCTCGTAAACATCATGCAACTTCAACACATGCGGATGCTCAATCAGTTTTAGAATGGCGATCTCCCTCTCAACCTAGTGCAAGAGAAGTGACAAATATAAAGACAAAGAGACAGAAAGAGATGAAGATACTGCAGCAGAGTACACAAGTGGTCAGTGTCATTTTAGAAGCAACAGATCTGTGGTTAATTATTAAATTAATACAGAAATTAAATATAGAGAATATGGAGCATTATGCATACATCATATCACACCTTATTTTATACTAAATTAGTTATTATCGTCACTGTGAGCAACAGCCTCAACCGTGTCACACGCTACCTTCATCAGGACTGACTCAGACAGCTTCTCTCTGTTGACTATTTTGATGGCTACCTTCTGACCCGTAATGCAGTGGATCCCCAGCTTGACCAGTCCTGACAGACAGACAGGTGAGAGGCCATAGTAAGAGACAGATAAGCATGAAAGATAGAAAAGGAATTGCCTACTGTATTTAGTTTGAGTAATTTTAAATCCATTCTTGCATTTCAAAAAAGTTTTATCATTTCAGTTTGTACTCACCGGTCTGTCCTTTCCCCAGTGTTTTTTCCAGTCGATAGGGCCCAACATATTGAGCTGACTGACTCAGAGACAGTTCCTTACTCATACTGCTCTCACTGGAGTCTAATACACTACTACCACTACTATCTACTACTACTATACTATGGTTATTGCAGTTACTGATATAATACAGCGTATGCGGATGTTATTGTGGATACAAGATGGTGCTCAGCTTAGGACTTCTTATTCCAGTGGTAACACTGCTACTGAAGTTATCTGGGTGAACGTGTAAAAATGCAAATGACGCTGATTTACAACATGTAGATGATAAATTAACATTCTTCATCTACATCTGTTTAATAAACATAGCTAAATATTTTTGCCTTTTTGTTCTGAAGCACGGTAAACATGTATAACATCGGTACTGACCAATACAGCTTGCTAGTGGTAGCTTGTAGCAGAAACTGAGATCACACTAAGTTACTAGTATGTTTTATGCGTTAAATACCCCCGGTTATCCTAAAGATAAGCATGAAAAAATATGTTAGGCAAAAATGAATTTTACCCCAGTACATTAGTGTATTTGTATGAGTTGCCACTTGTTAGTTATATGTATGACGTTAATTATATATGACGGTTAATAAGAAAACTAACGCTGAGTAACGTTAACGTTATAGCCTTAATCCGTTTTTGCATCTACTGCAAACATTTATGTCCTTTGACGTTTATGTCTACGAACAAAATGTCAAACACGTCAAGTGCATGTCAGCAGTGAAAATTAAATCTGTTTTATTCTCAGTGGCAGGCCTATTTTACAGATGCAACAACATGCTATTTATCCTCGCCGCCACTCTCCCACACAGCAGCGAGGCTAGCTTTAGCTTCAATGCCTAGACCAACGGCCGTGTCGCTCGCGCCGCCTGTCAAAAAAACCAACACCTCCGGAAGTTTCTTGGCATCGCCAAACGGTAAAATTCATAAGACAGTCGCCACATTCTCACAATATTCCGAGATAAAACGCGTTTTCCTCGCAAAGAAACCATCTTTAGCGCAGCGTAGTCCTCCCCCTCCCTGTCTCTCTGCCCGTCTCTCCCTCTCTACATCACTGCAAGTAGCGGATCACAGCATCTTCTCCTCTCTCCTTTGGCGTGTCCTCCTCCCTCACCGGCGGATACACAGGTGGAAAAACACAGATATCCGCAGATCGACTCGCACAAATATCGACCGCGTTATTCCCCTCCTCACTTCTGATTATAGTTCACGCAGGGTAAAGGCCCCTTGTATTATGCTCCCTTCGGTTTTCTTGCCGTAAATCGATATCTTCTCTCTCTTCTTCCTTCCTTCGCCTCACTCGCATCAGCATCCGGGTCCCACTCCCTCTCCATCCTCTCTCCTCCCCCGCCCTCCTCCTCCTCTTGACCATCTTTCTCAAAACGCGCTTCATCCACCTCATCACCGATCAAATCGTGGGACCCCTGAACTGTTGCAGACGTCAGGGGAGGCCGGAGTAATATGGCTCGGCTCTGACCAGTCAGTGTCCCATAGGTGGTATTTCAGTTTGATTTAAGGTATAAAATTTGAGGTGTAGCATAACTTTGTCATGTAAGGGCAAAATAGCAATGTTTTAATGTATAAATACGAGAGTAAATACCACAGTCACTCACATATTTATATGTATTTCTATTTTATATGTCTATACTACATTTTAGAGGGAGATGTTTAAGTCATTTTTCCACCACAAGCATTTGCTGACTCATTCCGTTTCAGATGAAGATCATCTTCTTTACCCAGAACACTTTTCAGGGTTGAACTTAGAGAAAAGGTCTATGATGCACCATTAAGCCATAAGACATATTGTAATGAGAGAAAAATTAAGTTCAGGTGTGACATTAAAACATTGCTTAATGTATATATTTTGCAAACAATAGGCTACTTTTGTTCTTTAATTTTAGTACATTTGTAATGCAGGACTTCTGCTTGTGATGGAGTTATTATTATAATTAAACAAATTTTTTATTTATGTTTAGTTGTGACTATCTCGAATATGGTGTTACCCATGCAGTTCTGTGACCCTGAACCATAGTTGGGGACCTCTTGTTCGTGGCTAACCTTCTTTAGCCCTGGCTCGTAGCCTTTAGCTAGCCTTAGAAGTCTGGGCTGGTAACATGAACACTGCAAGTGAAGTACAAGTACACAATAGGATTTTAGGACAGTAAAATGCGCCACACCTATTTTCAAGCCACTTCATTCACTTTTTTTATTGTGTGTTCATTTAATTTCTGTTCATTTAATTGTGTTTGGTGTTGTCGCTGGAGTCTTCTTACAGAATAAGCACAGGTGTAAATAATACAATTAACTAGGGCTGAATTCCATTTAGCTGCTCCAGTTTCAGGATCCTGGTTACTGTTCACGATGGCTCACTGTCATACTGTCATGGCTCACCGGGGCACTTCTATTATTAATGTTAATGTGCTTTTCCTACTGTGACAAGTCAAAATGTGTGCAGTAAAAGGCCTTGGCAGCTTGATTTTACATATAACCAGTTTGTTTGTTTGTTTTTTGATTGAACTACCAAATTCTCATGATATTAACACTAATGTCCAAGTTATGTTTCTGCCTGTCTCTCTAGTTTCATGTCATCAAATAATGGAAAAATACCCTACAAAAAGCCTTTACAGTAGCATAGACCACAGGGCCTAATTGAAACCCACAATAAAGATGTTTTTTATGGTCACATCTCCAAGGTGACCCAAAAGACCTCATCTGGAGAGAAAACCGGAAAGAGTTGTGCTGACTGAAATAAATCTCACAGAGCTGACAGCCCCATATAAAGGAGAAGTAGGACGTTGGAATGTATCATTTCTAAAGTGCCTTGAAAAATCTCAATTTGAAATATTGTGTGTGGGGGTGGATAATTCCCTAAAGCCCATCTTCATCTCTGCCTAGTTGGTTGATTTTCATGCAGCCAGAAGGATTTTTCTCCAACCATGGAGCAGAAATAGGATGGAGAGCATGGTCATTCTACTATTTTCTGATTTCTTTTGATGGTCTTTTGAAATTGAAATCAGTGCAATGAAAATGGTTGCAGTGAAAGACACACACTGCAAGACAAAATAAATAAAACCTACCTAATGAGAAAATAAACATTGGATTCAAATACACTGTAAACATTATGCTTGTCCTTTAGTGACAAGACAGTATAAAGTTAGCTTTATCCATAAACCTTCACAGATATGTCTGCATTCATGTGAATTCTGTCTCTCTGACACGTTGTCTTGAACCTCTGACGGCACCAGGATCTACTCTGTGCTCCAGAAATACACAGGTGGTTATTCTACGAAATCCAGCTTGTCAGTAAACACCCCTTTAGCTCCTAAAAACCTTTTATTTGCATCTCTTTGGAGAACATGAAACTCTGGGAAAATGTCATTTCTCCAGTCTAATCTTTATGCATTCCCACAATCACCGCACTCATTGCTAGAGTTCGTAGAGTGAAAAGTGAGGATTAAGCAGAGATGATCAAGATCGTCTTAATTCTATTAAGATCAGCTACTCAATGTAGAAGCCTGTACTCAGTCAATGGAGAGGTTTCAACAGCTGTTACATTTGATCATATAGGTAAAAACATAAAATGCCAATTTAATAACATCTGTGATTGCCAGGACATTTACAAAATTGTTCATTCATTCAAATTTCACAGTGCAACAGATAGTTAATGTTATAGTATAGTCCATAAATGAATGATAGAATTTATGAAAAAAGCTTTTCACATTGACAGAAGTAGCACACGGTGTCAGTATCCCCCATCCACCCAGCAGTTTTCAGATGGTTCAGTCCAGTGCAATAAGCAAAGAAGGGAATCCTACACAACTTTGGTAACTTGTAGCTATGAATAAAATCAAATATGGAGAACAGTTTATATGACAAAATGTGTGATGCAAATCATCCAAATCCAACACAGTTTGTCTTTATAGAATCACATGGGAGTTATGAACACTTCTGAGTGTTACTGCTTGAAACATATTGACTCAAAAGCTCAAACACTCCTTGACAAAGTCAGTAACATGTTTTGTAAATAAAGTAACTAATTCTTCAAATTGTCATTTCACAACACCCAACTGGATTTTTCAATTTCAAATTTTTTTTTTGCATAAAATTTTGGTTTGAGTTGTTCAGTGCTTGATTTTCCATTTTCTCTAATTTTCCATTTTACTTTTTTAAAAAATCATAAAGAGCACCCCATGTATTACCTGGCCTGATTAATATTATTGTTAAATGTTTTATGCTTTGGAAAATTGCTCTTCTGATTTACAAGCACTGATTATCTGTGCAAAACCACAGGAATTATGTTTTATGGTTGGATGTTGACTCTTTTCATGGAAAAAATCAGAGATAGTAGTTTGTAGTCATTTGTTTGAACTTACATTTTATTAAGATATATTTTCTTCCTGTATGTATTATGTTCCCTCAGATAGAGTTTTTATACAGGCCTGGAAGGCATCTATCAGGTCTTTACAGTCCTCTGCTCTCTTCTTTCTCATACTGAAACACAAAACCAGATTAAAAAACAAAACAAGCCAACCACTCTCCACACATGCAGCTGAGGTCTTTTCTTTGGCCGTTTAATGGGATTTCAGTTAAAATTAGGCAAATCACATAATATACATGTGAAGATTCATTCATTCATCTTCTACCGCTTAATCCCTGAACGGGGTGCCAATCCCGGCTGGCAATCAGGTGAAGGCAGGGTACACCCTGGACAGGTCGCCAATCCATCACAGGGCTAACACATAGATGAACAACCACACACGCACTCCTATGGGCAATTTAGAGACACCAATCAACCTAAACTGCATGTCTTTGGACTGCGGGAGGAAGCCAGAGTACCTGGAGAGAACCCACGCAAGCACGGGGAGAACATGCAAACTCCACACAGAAAGGTCAACATGTTCATCAAAGGGATTATTACAGTGTAGCCTGATTTTCAACTCAAACCTCCACAGCTGCTCTTATCCTCACTTGGTGAAATACGAGAACACGAGTGAATAATGCATAAGGTAGCTCCACTAATACTAATCACCTCTATATGTGAACACACCCTAAATATCTGTCACTTCTTGCGTGCATGTAACACAAACCAACTGCCCTGAATGTGTCAGTCCTCTGCAATAGAGCATACATGTGGGCGTCTATTTTTAACCTCAAGCCTATTTATTTATTTATGCCTCTCAAGATATTCAAGTTAATGTATGGGCCTACAGTAAATGTCATTACACTGGTCCCATGATGTAGAAGGAATTTCACTAAAATTGTGAACAAGTATTCATTAACTCCAATTAGACTTAATAATTTTGCCACAGGCACTCTTACAAGTTGAACCCAATATGAGAAGTTAATGTAAATGCATTGGGTGTTATGCATACTCAGTAGGTGAGGACTGAGACTGGTCAAATGGATGTAATGCAAAGTGTTTAGTTAGAACTTAAACACATGCACTGACTTCATTAATGGCAAAACGTTATACCGAGATAATCTGTACAGGCACTTTAGACTTAACAAGGACATTCTAGCTAGAAAAAAATGAATTAATTTTAGAATTTTCATACAATGTTTAGCATCTACATTTGATTTTCATCAGAACTCACCACTTGTCAATGTCCTCTTTGATAACCTGGCACGGTGCTGGTGCAGCTTCAATAGAATCTGGCATTTTGACAGAAGAGAGAGCTGGAGTTTGTGGAGCTGTGGTGCTGCAAGAGCTGCAGTTAAGTGTGGTTAGAGGCAGGTTAGAGAGATGGAGGGAAAACCATTCAAGGGAGGGAGGGAGGAGGCATGACAATGACTGTGTATGATAAACCTGAGAGAGGGACAAGTCAGATCATGTGCAGGGGATAACTCAGGAAGGCATTTCTGATCTGAATTAATTGACTTGACTACTTTTTTCTATTTATTTCAACAGGTTTGAGTTCTGCATCTTTGTTCCTTACTTTTTTCTTAGTCTCTAATATTCTGTTTTATTTATGTGCATCAGTATAGGTACTCTTAACATTCCTTCATTCTTGTCCTTTGTTTTAGTGTCTTTTTAATTAATATGGACATAGCTAGCCTATTGAGCAAATCATTTTGCATTACAAGGACCTAATAATGCACCTAAAATACTCACTACAGGGGAGCTGGCAGAGGGCCCCTCCCTGAAAAAGGCTGGGGAGCCTGCACTGCATTGTTGGCTTAAGAGGTTGAGCTGAGAGTTTTGGCTTTTGTTTAACCAGACATTGAATTAGCATTGATTGTGCTGTTAGAAATGATGCAACTAATATTCTGGAAATGATCCAGAATGTTGAGGCTTTTAAAAGTAAAAATAAAAGCAGATGTGGATAGCATTAGTGAGGTTAATCCCTACACTGTATTTGAGTTTTACTGAACATCTTTGTTCCCCCACAGTCAAAGGTTTTTCATTATACATCAACAAACATTTTACAAGTTAATTTACATGCATGTAGTTTTTATCTGTTGGAAAACATAAATAAATTACTCCATTAGTACCCATTAGTGTGTATTGTGAATTCAACTATTTAATATTCATGTAATTGTAGAATGATGGGGGATGAGATTTTTTCCTCTAAACATAGGGTGAAGAGTTTGACGAAGTACAATTATGTACCTTGACTTCCTTCTTTCAGCAGTGGTGTCTTGATGAAGCACCTTTTCACAATTCTGGATTGGTGAGGAAGGTTGCAATATTTTCCACAAAAAAAAAAAAAATCTAATTTCCTCTAATTAATATTACAGCTCAGTAACACGGGGTAAAGGAACTGAATGATCCAGAGATGCTAAAGTCACAAGTGTTTAAATATTTTCATTAGCATAACACAAGAGGTACTGGCAAGGTGATTGTTGAACAAAATATGGGAGACACTTTGTCCTCCGTATTTTGCATGTGTAACATAGTACTTGTACAAAATGATTAAAATGTTTCAGTTTCTATACTGCACTATTACAATATTCTAGAATTTAACTCCACCACTAGAGGGCGACAAACACTCATACACTGTACATACAATGCTAGATTCAGAATTTCTGCACATAGGCCAGTGTATGCTTCATTATTCCCTGTTTAAAAAAATCACATATTAAGCAAAACTAACTTGTTACATTTTTTAAAAACATTTTTGTTACATTTTACACCTTTCTAGTTCCTTATATTGTTTCATATGTGCACTTGGAGATGACAGGTTAATATGAGGTTTGAGTTAATTGCAGTATCTCCTTAATCAGGCCCAGTCTCAGTCACCAAACAGCCTACATGACATATGAGTTAAAGAAAATCATCCTTGTGCCAGTTGATACTTCCTCGATTATAATGACCATAAATCCAGTGTGCCATCTACTGGTGCACATATTAAGTGCATATGGTGTCTGACAGACAGGTAGGCTATTCCAAAATATGAAATTGGGGGAAAGGCCTAAAACTGGTCTTGATGTCTTTAAGAAAACTGAAGAAGAAAAGAGAAAATACCCCCACACGGCAAGCCAATAATTTTAGACAACCTGCAATTTAAGTAATTAATCATGACTGAAGGCAGGAAATGCCACTGTCTATCATCATGTCAATCAGGCTGCACAATGGATATGAGTGACTGCTGGGGGCCTGTACAAATCTGGTTTTTACTGGAAATATTTTGCACTCGAAAGTGTCTCAGCGCATCGCAGCGTTCAGGACAAACATCTGTTTTTGTTCGTGTAGTTAAATGTAGTCTCAACTAATAATTAGCCAAGCAGTCATTTGAAATTATGAAAAAGCATGCAGGGCTGGCTGACAGACTGGGGGCTGGTGAACGGAGGTCACCGCAGATACTGAGTGAGTCTCCGCGGTGAGACAGAGTGGGGGAGAGGGAGGACGGACAGCGGCCAGCCGCCTTCAAAAATGGCGTCTCCGGAGGAAAATGAGTAAAAATTATTAAAACGCGGCCTGCTTTCCTTACACTTCCTCGTTCGGGTTTTATGTTTTTTTCGTACTCTGGTTATAGAGAACGGGGCAAACCTGTCTTCGCTTTTACTTGAATGGCCAAAGAAAGCAATAATATGGGGGTCGAGCATTTGGAGAAATAAAAGCAGCAGTTTTATTTTGATGCGTCGTTAGTGACAGCTAGCATCTGCTGCTAGCTCACAGCTCTGCTCCGGAGGGGGTGGGAACGATTTGCATGCAAGGGGGGTTTTAAAAAAGATTCTGAAATTGGGGATTTCTTTGCTTGTCTATGAGGAATGATTGGTACCAACGTGGCCTGTCGATTACAATCTTTTCTAGTGCTAGCAGCGTAGCCAAAACTAGCCTAAAGAAAGGGGAGGAGAGAGACGGTGAAAAGGACGCATTCAAATCAAATGTTTATCAGCAATTGGCCGAATCCGCGGCATCTTCATCATGACCGTGACTGATTTTGGGCTAAGTCTGCATTCGTGGAAATGATAAATGTAAAAGGCATCGGAAAAGGAGAAAGCCTGGTTTTTTCGGAGGTGGTTGGATTATAACCCCGTAGACCCCCCTCTTTTTCATCCAGCTTTCTCCTCCTCCCCTCCATTTCTCTTTCAATATGCTGTTTTCCACTCCTGGGGACTTGCTTATGAAACCGGGGAAAATAGCCTGAAACCTAGAACGAGAAAACCTGGATTTTTCCTCAATCTGCGCTGCGACGTCCTCGTTGCTTTCGTCCTCATCGCTCACATTTTACAACACATAAATGGATAGAAATTACCCGGGAACAGGATTTGGTGATTTGGGCGCAGGAGCAGGATGGAGTTACGAGAGATCGGCAAAAGCAAGGTATGCATTAGATTCAGACAATGTGCATGCATCACTGGTACTTCGCAGGGCACCGTGTGACCCATGTAAACAAATTGTCGCCATTGCCTTCATTTATAGTGGCATCCCTTGCTGTTATGTGTAGTGCATTGTCATCCGAACACTTGCATAGTAATATTATTATAAACAGGAATGAAGCAGTGTGCGTGTCGTGGGGGTGGGCGGGGTGGAGAAGGGAAAGGTTGAGGATATGAATTGAATGTGATTGACAGACGTGGTTTAAGGTAGACATGGCGGAGTGGAGGTGGGGGTATGTCTGGAGCATCCATAGGAATTATTGTTCCCTGTGTGCAGGCCTGGACAGATAAATTCAGTGGATTGATAGGAACTGCGAAGAGTGCAGACGCAGCAAAGCCCCCACAAGCAAGCCCCCCTGACAGACATCAGCAAGAACTGATGCATATTAACCTTGAAGATATATTTCATTAAACATTTTTAAAGTGCCACATGCTTAAGAAAACAGGGAATAAAAAAGCTGTAAATAGGGAGTGATGCCATACTATCAAAATGGAGATTTATAATGGTTTTTGCCCAATCGTGATCTAAGATCATTGGTGGTGGGTTTGTGGTGATTTTTTTTTTGTGCTCATTTGCATAACAAAATGGTGCCATATTCCCACCGAATCTAACCTGTAATTTGTTGTTTGTCTGAAAGGAAAATAAAAGCCAGAGCGAATCCATATAAAGATTATTTAAAAAAAAGGGGGCATCATAGCTCTGTCTTTTAGCCTTATGTTAGCCTTCAGGCTAGCATTCTGTTGCATGGAAGTCATTTGAGGCCTGTGCAGGCAAGCATCGTTGCCTCTTATTTAGCTGTACAAATGTGATGTTTCGACACAGAGTTGGTTGCTTGATCATACCCGAAACCCATCGTGTCTCTATGGGAAACGATATTTGGCTAAACATAAGTGGCTGGTCGCTGGGCTTTGCATGAAACTTAGCATGCACTTTTGTCGACTTGAACCATCCAGTTGTTAGCTTTATCAGCTTAATCAGTGGTGCCAAACAAATGGGCCGTTTGTCTTTGGTACAAACGCAGAGACATGTATTTTTCATTTGGTTTAAGTCTGCACGTTACACACCCATGGTGTGTATATACATGTAAAAGACTGGCCTTGCATTTAGGGCCTTCGTTTCTATGGTAGCTGCTGTGCATTGCTACTAGGCGGTGCTAACAGCAGCACAAATGCTAGCATGTGATCTGACCATACGTCCACGCATTTCTTGTCTTTTGTAAAGAAAAAGAATGCAACTGACAAGTATTTGGTGTCGAATAGGGAGACTATTTAGTTTGTAACGTTTAAAATTGTGTAATGGTTGATTCTTGTGGTTCCATTGTAATATTTGCAAATTAACTATCCCATTATTTTTGCATGAGATGTTGCTGGTTTGACAGATTTATTGTAGCTAATAGGTTTTGGTATGTCCAAGTTTGTCATTCTGTCACAGGTGTTTTTTATTTTTAATTTTTTTTTTTCAGAGATGTTCCTTCCCCTTAATTTGAAATGCAAATTACTCATCAAGGATTTTCATTTTCACATGTAACTTGTGATTAAGAATTTACACATGGTGACCAAACAAATGAACAGCCTTGAGTTGACACCTAATGTGCGGATTTTGAAGAACAGTTTACTTACAGGTCAGAGTTTGTGTATTTTACAAGTGCTCCAGGCCTATACGGCCTTTCCTCAAGGATCACATTATTGGAATAGATTAGGTTTACATAAATGTACTCTGAAATGAAGGACACTTCACCATCCCCTACTCCCCTTCCTCCATAGTCTTGTATATGGGAGTTCCAGATCATCCCACCCTGACTCTGAGCTCCTTCACCGACAAGCCTACGCCACCCCACACCCTCTGCAGGGCTATGCCACCAATCACCACCCAGGGAGCTCTGGCCAAGGCGGGGCTTGGGGAGCAGCTGGACGGAGTTTGGGTGAGATATATGTCACACCTTCCTTGTCAACACCATAAGGGGCCCTGGCAATGAATTGCTGCATCCCACCATGAAGGCCTTGATAGATTATTGTCACTGAAAAATGTGCACATTATAGCCTAATTGATTTGAAGTCCTAGATGTTATAACCCAATTTCACAAAATGCTATAGCCATATCAGGTATTCTCATACAGTTTTGCAGATGTCTTGAGGATTGTTTTTAGCAACAGATGTTGATGTACTTATAGATACACTAGGAACTATCAACATCTTGATTCAAATTATTTGTATGTGTGATAGAGAGGACTAAATCTAGATTAAAAATCCTTTTCATTTATATTTTATCTCCTTTTGTATTATGATTTCACCTACATCTAGATAACTAGCTGTTAATATTAGCATTTTTAATCAATTTTCATGGCTCTGTCCTTCCTTCCCAAAGGTCTGTCAGGGCTCTTTGACACTGGCCTGCACCATGCCAGCCCCTCTGCCCCTGATGCCTCTGTCATGAATCTGATCTCAGCCCTGGAGTCCCGGGGTCCCCAACCTCCACCCTCTGCCTCCTCCCTTCTCTCCCAGTTCCGCACACCATCCTGGCAGACAGGTGGGGCTGTGTTAGATGTTCCCTCATGTGTTGACATTCAAACAGGCCTCACAGTCAATATGACATTTAAAGAACCTCCCAATGTTTGGCTTGATTATCATTCTGATGGTGTTGCTATGTCAGTATTTTCTTATCAAATGTATGCACTTTTGCAGGACTTGCTGATAGTCTGACCCTTCAATACTTTATTATTTCTTCATTTAAGTGATAACCTGATGTAGAGTATACTGAGTAATTTTGCAATACGTCTTCCTTCTCCAAACAGCAATGCACACGCCTGCTCCTCCCGAACTCTTCATCTCTGGAGCCCTTCCTGGCTCTGGCTCCTTCCCCTCCTCCTCAGCTCTGTCAGCGTATCAGCATCCAGCATCCTTCTCCAGCCGTTCTTTCCCAGCTGCCTCCCTTTCCCTCCAGGACACCCCCACATTCAGTCCCACATCCAATGGCCTGCTCTCCCCACATGACCCCCTGCTACACATTAAGGCCCCTTCCCAGTCTAGCCTGGGTTTTGATAGGCTCCTGTCCTCGCAGGGTGCTGCTGCAGCTGCCTACAGGGGTAGCCAGGATCCCACGGGAGCCACATCAGCCCAGGCATCGTCTAGGCACCTGCAGTCACACCAGTTCAACCTGCTTTCATCACAGCTCCAGGACCAGTCCTCCCAGCTGTATAATGCATCAGTCTTTTCGTCAGCCCAGCCCCAGCCTCAGTCCCAGTCCAATTCAGCTCAGGAACGGGCCGTGCCCAGGCAGGACAGCGTTATCAAGCACTACCAGCGGCCCACACCAGCTCAGCCACAGCTCTCGTCCTCTGCTGCCCACTCCCTTCAGCACTACCTCAGCTGTGGAGGGGCGGGATACCAGCAGATAGCCACCCACCACAGGCATGCTGGCCTTTCGTGCAGCCCACTGGGCGACCAGAGTCCCTCATCTGACCACAAGGCCACTTCTCGCACTGAGCAGTATCGACCAATCATCCAGCCTCCCTATTCCTCCTCCTCTTCCTCCTCATCTTCTTCCTCAGCTGGGAAAGGTACCAAAAGCAGCTCCAGCAGTGGCTATTCTTCTGCCAGTTCAGCATCATCTTCAAGAACCCCTCACACACCCCCTTCTGCTTCCTCTACCTCCTCTTCCTCCTCCTCTTCTTCTGCCACCTCTGGGGCTCATCCATCCAACTCAGTCCCCACCTCCCCCCCCTCTGCCCCCCAGTCTCTTCCAAAGTCCTGCCTGTCAGGCTATGGTTCTCCTGTGCCCCCAGTAAAGACCCCCACATCTGCTCTTACTGGTCAGACCCCTCCTCAACAACAGACACAATCATATTCCCCTAATCAGCCACCAACCTCTCACCTGGCTCAGTCCTATGGAGGCTTCAGTTCACCACAAGCGCAAGATTTGAGCTCTGGTACTGCTGGGAAAGGCTATGGGAGTTTAGGAGGGCGAAGCCAGTCATACTCCACTGATATATATGGAGCTGATTCGGCTTATGGATCACTGCCATCTTCTCTGGGTGGAGCTGGAAGCCCCTCACTAGGCTATGGAGCCCCAGGTCACTCCCCTGCCCTTTTAAGATCAAGTGGTTCATCAGGGAGTGGAGCATCTGGCGGAGGAAGCAGCAGCGGCACAGGAGGTGGGAACTCTGGCTCAGGAGGAGGAGCAGGAAATAGTATGACCAATGAGAGAGGTGGAGGAGGAAGTGGTGCAGGGTCTTATCATCTTCCAGACTCTAGCCCCTCTCCATCAGGCAATTCAGGCATCATTCGTCCAGGGTTGCACTCCCCAGTGCCCACCTGCCCCACACAATCTCCAGGAGGTGCAAGCTCTAATAAATACATTTCCTCAGTTCTCTCCCCCACCTTCCTAGCCTCTCCACAGGGCTACCCTGACACCAGAGGCCCCAGCTCCCAACCTCAGTCCTATCATTCCACATCCTCCAAAACAAAGGCTGAAACCTCTATGCTAGGCGTGGGCTCTCAGAGATCACAAGAAGAAGTAGATGATGATGACGAGTTCTTGATCCAGCACCTACTGCAAGCCCAAGCAAGTCCTACTCCCCAGGCTGCTCATCATCACCCTCAACAGCAACCCTCACAGGCATCCCAACAAACACAGCCCCAGCCCCAGTCAGTACCCCCAACTAGTGATTCAGGAAAGGGGCTGAGCTATGACATGGGTAAGACCTCTGAGGAGAGGTACCACCCCCAGAGTGTTATACGTACCCACAGTGCCACGTCTGCTGCTGGAGTAGGAAGTGCAGGGTCTGGAGGGTCCATCTCAGGACTGGACAACCAGCTGGAGATGTCACTGAAGAAGCAGCAGCAGCAGCAGCAGCAACAACATCAGCAGCAGCAACACCATCATCAACAGCAACAACAGCAGCAAAGAAATGAGAGGTCTGTTGGAAGCAGCAGAAACAGTGGAGGGAGAGGCAGTACTGAACAAGTGCACCCCCACCTCCATCACCATGACAACTTAAGCTCTGTAGTCCACTATGGGCGGGGTGACCCCTACAGCCAACACAGCCTTGCACCCCAACACTCTTCACATACTCAGCATGTGTCCTCACACTCTCAAATACCGTCCCACACCCAAATGGAGCTCCAAAAGAAGCCACAGGAGCGTGGTGAAATTCCTTACCCTCGGAAAACACCCGAAGTCCAGCAACAGCATTCTCAGTCTCAAGCTGCTGCCTCCCTCATGGACTCTCCCACCGATCAGTCCCGTCAGCCACCACACCTGCTCCAGTCAGTGCTGTCGCACACCACCCGCAACAAGCTGGAGCCTCATCAACAGCACCATAAGATGGAATCTCATCGGCAACACCAACAGCATCATAAGATGGACTCTCACCAACCACATCAGCAACACCCAAAAATGGACTCTCACCCTCAGCATCAACAGCACCAGAAGATGGACTCCCATCAGCATCAACAGCACCACAAACTTGATTCTCACTCACAACATCAACAGCACCATAAAATGGACTCTCATGCCCAACAGCAGCAGCACTCTATTACCCAACAGCAAGCTGTAATGGAAAGTGCTGGTGGGAGACTTGGCACAAGTAAACATCAGCCACAGTCTCAATCTCAAACCACTCAGCTCCAGCTTCAACTACAGTCCCAGGCTCTGGAAGTGGCAGCAGCTCACTACAACCATGGGCCCCCTCCCCATCAGCACGAGCAGAGCCAGATTAAGCAAAGCTCAGTGGTCTCTTCCTTGGATATGCTGGAGCGCTCCCTTTCTCAGACCTCCAGCACAGACGTAGCTGTTGCAGAGGACCGACATGGTGGAGCAGGCAGTGGGGGAAGGAGTGGAGGCAGCAGTGAGCGCCACAGAC